TTATTTTTTCAGTACTGAAAAGATCAGTTCAAATGAATTTCGTTTCTAAATGCTTGACGATATATCAACTTTGCATCAAAAATAACAGAATTTGTAAGCGGGTATTATCATTTTCTGAAGAAAATCATATTTCTGTCCATAATCAGTGATAATAAGTAATTGAAAGTAAGTAGCATGAAAAAGCTACTGGTATGAAGTTGTTTCGTGGAATTAACAATTCTTCAAATATAACAGAAATTTTGAAAAATTAAAAAAAAATCAAAATCTTCAAGTTGCAATAGAAAGATCAAATTCAAGAAGCATGTGTAAAATTGGAATAGAAATAACTTTTTCAAGTAAACTTTTTCGATATTCGAACAAATAAAACTTCAGCGATTAATTTGAAAAAATGTCACTTTTGACATGTAGCGACAGTCACGTGACCCCGATTAAGTAGGCCATTTTTCATCTTTTTCGAAGCAAAACTCAACGTCCAACTCGAATTCCAAAATAAATCATTAATAAAAGTTTTTCCCATATGATGCCGACTTTATGAATGACACTGTATATATATATATATATATATATAGACACCATTCATTTGTCGGTTGGAAAAACTGCTAGGGAAACAAATATGGTATATATTCAGTACCACCTTGATGGTGACTTCTATCGGTGCTTCTTTATCGCACTGTTATTGTTTTTTGTTTCTCAATAAAACACTCAAGTTCCTTTATCTCCCGCTTCTTTCGAATTTTCAATAGTTTCAACGAATAGACAAAGTTGGAAAGTCAGGCCACTATTCTTTTTTGATCTCTCAAGACAGAAGGTCACTCGATAAGTAGTGATTTTTTTTTCAGTAAACTAAGTAGGTGAACGACATTTAGTAGGTATGTACATCTTCACATTCAGTACACTTTTTCAAATTCGTTAAGTATTCTTTCACGTAGTATAATTTCATATTAGTAAGCTGTATCTCATGTTCTGTACAGGTTCTCTAATGATAATCTAGAATCTGATGTTCTGTGGAAGGCTCGTTCTTAGAGAGATATTCTTCCGTTTTCTATTTAACCTTTGATTTAACTCAGATATTTCATTACAACTGAACTGAATCAGATGACATATTGTGTTCTTTTGAATTGATGTCATTTTCCTCGTCAGCTTCACACAATGCATGGTGTTAAATCAAAGTGAACTAGAAGGCCTATTGGAAATATCAATAGAAAGATGTTTTCCGCATAAATTTGTTTAGTAAGTACTATTTTTACTTCAATACTCATGTTCACATCCTTTTTTGACTGCTATCCCAATTTTTCATCCGTGTTGAAATTGTCAACACTAAAGACCGCCATGTCAAATGTCAAATCACCATTCTAATTTTACTCGACGGTTTTTCTCTTGATGGTTTGCTTTGAAAGCAAATGAAGCTTCTTTGAGTTGATTTGTGAAAAAATCCGTTTTTCTCAACGATGTTGAACTTTCTTAGAGTCAAGTTACTCTGGCTTTTCAGCCGTTACAAATTCAATTAGTAACAGACCGAATTGATATTTTCTATATTACGAGACCTGATAATTTCAGTTATATGATGATACCTTCATAAGAGGTCCTTTCTCAGCTGCCATATATTGTTAAGAACTTTTCATGATATTCAGGTACTTCTTTCTTTTTAGTTTGTTTTAAGATGGCCGTGGTGCTGGAACTAATCATACACATTGGTGTATTATATTGAATTTTGTGGTCGACCAACTTTGAGTTAATTTTTTTCTCCTTCTTGAAAAATACTGGACCACTTAGAGAATGGATGGTTTTCATGACTTGAAAAGAAATAGTTCACATACACCTACAATCAATTTCGCTGGAATATTTCAGTAGTGTCTTGTCTCAACACTACTCCATACTTTTATGCCATATTCCTGAATTGGAAGCAATGAATCTTATAATTTCTTTGACGGAGTGATTGATCTTTCAGCCAGAACATGACAACTGATCGATAACACAAAAGTTCAGTGGCATCATCACGTTCAGTTTCACTTCGATCAGTTCAGCTACAGGGTTCAGTATACAAATCAAGTGACATTTTTTCGTTCTGAACCTTGGAAGTTATGGTTAAATCAATTTACTATTCATAATTCACAGGTGTGAAATATCTCATTATATTCATCTATCAATTATTAATACCCCTTACAATGAGTGCTCGCAATATTATTGATACTAATTTTGTAAGAATCAACGAGATCCATTTGCTTGTTCGAAGCAATTTGATCGAGTTCAAGATTTCTGAAAGAATTTTCGATAGTATTGTGAGTACGAATTGAATTTATAACAATTCCACGACCTATATGAAACTGACATCTCCATGTCATAGCAAATAACAAGATATTGATTTATTCAGATTCGTGGTTGCCGTGACGACGTGGTCTTACAGGCGAAAGGACAAACCAGCCTACTATCAAGGCACATCATTCTGATTGGTTATTTTATGTAGGAGGTAGGAGGTATAGTTCCATATGGGTCGTGGAATTGTCGACTGAACTGACAGAATCTGACAGCTGAACAACATCATCGAAGAAAATCTTGGTTTTTCTAGTTCGCTTCGATTCACCACAAAGCGCTAGGTGGAAGAAATGATAGTCAATCGAAAGAATGCTTATTGAATGATTCAGTTCAGTGCCAGAAAAATATTTCAGTTGGTTCAGAAAAGGAGAATATCACTACATTTCCACTCATGCCTCAGTCTAACAGAAAATTTCTCATTTGAGGAGGTCACTGGCATAATCAGATATATCTACTTCCCTAAATTCTTCAGAAAACGAGGAAAACGTCGATAATCTGTCTCCTGATTCAATGGACTTATATCACAAAAAAATTTCATTTCATAATTCGATAGAACTCACCCAAACTAGCTCACCACCGCAAACCGTTTCTTGCTGTGAGCTCCCTACGTTTTATAAAAAATTATTGAAATCCCCGATTTTTCGGACCTCTGAAAACGAGGCAATGATGTGACGTCAGAACCCTAATACTGAAAAAAGACTATTCCAGACAGAGATGAATGATACATGATTTCTGACTTAGTGAATTAGCGCGAGATCACAGTTGAAAGAATTAATATATCAGTTGCCTCTGTCTCCGTCGGGCGTTTGGTATTTTCTTTTAACTATGGCGAGATGACTTTTATACGTCATAAGAGGGTCCGTTTTCAGAAGGTACTATTATTTATGTCCAAAAATAAAACATTTCAGTTAATTTTTCGATCGAATTATGTCGTCAATCATCATTTATGTATAAAAGGATCATTATAAACATGGTTTGAGTTAAAAGTTCTACTAAGGTGTACACGCCCATTGTTGAAATTTCCACCGTACATGGATTGCAATTCAGATAATAAACATCAGGATTAAACACATTTTGATGATGTGCATTGATAATTTAGATCAATATATGGAAAAATAATGGCAGTTTCATGTGGCGTGGAAGTGTCGACAGAAATTACAGAACCTGACAACTGAACGTCGTCATCGATGATAATCTTGGTTTCTCTAGTTCATTTCGATTCATCACTAAGCGCTGAGGTGGAGAAATGTCAGTTAATCGAAAGAATGCATGTTAAATGATTCAGTTCAGTGCCATAAAAATATTTCAGTTGACTCAGAAAGGAATAATATCACTTCACTCATTCTTCAGTCTAACAGAAAATTTCTCATTTGAGGAGGTCACTTACAAAACCAGATATATCTACTTCCATATACTCTTCATGAACAGGATCAAACACTTTTGGATGAAGTGCATAGAATATGGAAAAAAATATGGATAGGTACATCTTTTTTTGCACCAGAATCGAGGAAAGATTATTCGGAAAAAGTATCTTATCACTTGAATTATCACATCAATATTCTCTTGAAACAGTCATTTCCTTCACGTTGGACTCAAGCCCTAATATAACTGGTTCGGCTTGCGAATTCGGGAATATGATTGATCTTGTTGCAATGCACAATTTCAGACAGAAAACGTATCAAGTGAAAAGTGGAAGTGGATATAACCGATTTTGCTCGTTCATCCTGCTATTCAGTATATACAGTATCTCAAATCTCTTCACACCTGTCTCCATCAACAGTACCTACTGAGTACATTCAAAATCGTCCCGGGGGCAACATTGTCAAAAACTACCAATTTCCAAAATTCCACCAAATATGACTGAATTCTAGAAGATGGTCTATTCACTGGGATCCGTTTGTCTGCTTCCCCATGAATGATTACACCGCCAAACGGTTGTGGTCGGTCGACAGGCGATTTCAAAGGCAGAATCCAGCAAGTGACTGTCCTATAGTTTACACCTTTAGTCTTTGGAACAACACCGTCGATAAGCACCAAAATTCCACCAAACATTACTGAATTCTAGAGGATGGTCTATTCACTGGGATCCGTTTGTCTGCTTTCCCATGAATCATTAAACCGCTAAACGGTTGCGGTCAGTAGACAGGCGATTTCAAAGGCAGAATCCAGCCAGTGACTCGTCTTATAGTTTACACCTTTAGTCTTCGGAACAACACCGTCGATAAGCACCAAAATTCCTCCAAAGATTACTGAATTTTAGAAGATGGTCTATTCACTGGGATCCGTTTGTCTGCTTCCCCATGAATCATTAAACCGCCAAACGGTTGCGGTCGGTTGTCAGGCGATTTCAAAAGGCAGAATCCACTCAGTGACTCGTCTTATAGTTTACACCTTTAATCTTTGGAACAACACCGTCGATAAGCACCAAAATTCCACCAAAGATTACTGAATTTTAGGAGATGGTCTATTCACTGGGATCCGTTTTTCTGCTTCCCCATGAATGATTACACCGCCAAACGGTCGTGGTCGTTTGACAGGCGATTTCAAAGGCAGAATCCAGCAAGTGACTCGTCTTATAGTTTACACCTTCAGTCTCTAGAACAACACCGTCGATAAGCACCAACATTCCACCAAAGACCACCGAATCCCAGTTCTCTTCTGCAGTTCCAGATTCCACCGGCCGCCCCTCAACACATGGACTCGGCCAGGGCGGGCTGGGGCGCGCTGTACGGCCCCGCCCAAGGCTGCAGGTTCTGCAGGGCGCTGAGGGCGGTGTCGGCGGGGCCGGCGCTGGGCGGTCCGCCCTCGCCCATGTAGCCCTTGGTGAGGGCTTCGGCTTGCAGAGACATCATCAGCCGGTTGGCCGCCTGCCGCTCGGCTTCGCGTTCTTCGGCGGTTTGCCGCCTGGAACAAACACAATTTTTTTAATTAGGTTCATGCGGGTTCGAACAATTACTGTTCTAGAAATGCAGTAGAATCGGTCGCGTTCTGGTTTTGTGGGACTGTTCTAGGACAGACTCTTCAAGCGTTCGGGATTTTTCAGAACCGCCTTGGGACGGTCCTAGAACTATCCGAAACCTGTAGCTGATCTCGGGTGTGAACCGTTCTGGGATTATTTGGCATGAGCGTAACCTGTTCCAGACAGGAAAAATATCAATGACAGTTTCCTGCATGATGGGATAGATGATATTTATATAATCGAATATAGAGATCGACAGTTTCTGATTCATATAAATTATACTAAATAATTTCAAATTGTGTCAGGATGGGTGGTCATTCTCGTGAAACAGCATACATTACAAGCCAAGATATAATAACTGGCCAGCAATCGATAGCAAACTGCTGGCACTCTTTGCTGTTTCATCATGATTATAATACGTATGTTCCACTTTCATTGTGCTGATACATCAGTATATTGTTTATCGAGCACGGATTGATAGTGATTTTCCACGAAAATGAAGTTTGAAGCATGAGCCGTAGGCGGACCGATAATGTATACAGATGCTAGTTTCTGAATCTTCGTGAGATTAGACTGTGAAGGCTCGATTAGTTCTAGGGGTACATTCGCAGCTTTTGCCTTCGATGTCTCTGCACATCATCAAGGATTTTGTGGCCTTGTTAAATTTTTTTTATGTTCTTGTTCCCACGAAAAGGGATATCCTGTAATGTTCAGAGAACATCGTGAGAACCAAGGGAAATAAGGTAGGAATTGGTGTTCTTCCTCAATTTCTGGAGGTTATATGCCTCGAGGAACACCTTTCTTGGCAATGTGTTCCAGAGCCTCGCTGTTCGTTGAAAGAACGAGTCTTTTGAAAGAGATGTTCTGCAGGTCTCCAAAGTGACCACGAAGGGGTGCGAAGCTTCACCTCGATGGGTTAATCTCGCGGGGACTGCCAAGGGAGGAACAATTGTTGATATTTCAGAAGAGCATCGTCCATGGAGATATCTATAAAATTGAGCCATATCGCCAACTTTTCTACGGTGTTCCAGAGAAGTGATTGAGTTTGTGAGCGAGACATCACCCACGATACGAATTGCCCTTTTTTGGACAGAATCCAACAGCTTCACGGTATGTTTGGGTACTGCACACCAAATATCGGAACAGTATTCCAGGACAGGTCGGATCTGTGCCTTATAGATCATAAGCAGCTGACTGGAAGTGACATAGCTCCTGGTCCGAAACAGAAAACCAAGTTTTTGGGATGCACTTTTAGCAATTGATCTCACGTGACTTTCCCAAGAAAGTTTATTGCTGATAGTAATACCAATCATCGAAATAGATGCCTTCAAAGGTATGGTTACTCCTGACAAGCTTATGTTGGGCACAGTGAGATCGGCTTTTCTAGAGAAAAGGCATGCTTGTGTTTTGTTTGCATTGAAATCTACCAAGTTATTGAATCCCCATTCAAGAATTGATGCCAAGTTCATATTTATGTTGTCAACATTTCTGCCTTGCTCGTTTCTGATTTGCCTAGCTGGTATTGGAGCCCTAGAAGAGAAGGCGGTATGGAGAGTACTATCATCCGCAAAGCTGTGTACTGGACCTGAAATTGCTTTCAACAGATCGTTGATATGGAGAAGAAATAGTTTTGGTGTTAAAGTCGATCCTTGCGGAACACCAGCATTCATGATAAGATAGTCAGATGAAACTCCGTCGACCACTTCATGAAGAGACCTGTTTGAGAGAAAACTAGCTAGCAGAGAACATAGCTGGAGAGGCAAGCCATAAGATGGAAGCTTAGCTAAGATTTCACCATATTTTTCAATAGATTGCTGTCATATATGTGAGACGTAGGCGAGCAGGTCACCAGTTGATCTCTGATGTCGGAAGCCATATTGCCTATCGCTGATAATACCTGAATGTACCATGTATTTCATGACCCCGATGTTTATAGCTTTCTCCATGATCTTTGAAATAATAGATAGCAGTGTGATCGGTCTGTAGTTGCTAGGTAGGGTCTTTTTGCCTTTTTTAGGAACCGGTTGATGTACTCTTGCGATTTATCAATTGGACGGGAATATCCCCAATTTGTAAGAGTAGTTGAACAACTTGCATAGAACAGGTGTTAGTTCGGGAGCACATTTCTGGAGAACAATCGGTGGTATTCCGTCGGAGCCACAAGCTTTGTTGGTGTTGAGACCCAATAAATTAGTCACCTCTCGTGTTTATTCATATATATTCCAGGTGATAGACTGATAGGATATAAGCAGCAACTGGATATAACAATCATTAGATAAATTGATCATGGAATTCTGAAGAAGGAAACAATCTTGTGAAATTTTGACAAACTAGCCGTTTTCAATGTATTTGCAGTTCAATACCCATGAGCGTGAATTAGCACAGTACCACGGAGTGGAACCTTCTTGCAAATTAAAAGCTAACGGGTACCGCAATCATGCATCGAACCCGAGTACTTTACATGTAGCTTCACTTTACTGAACAAGTGAGGAGCATAAATGAGGAAACGGAAATCATTCAATCGGCACACCCATATCATTTGATTCTTCTTCAAACTACATAATACACTTAATGGGACAAGATACTGGTGAAAATTAAAAACCTTGTATACGGTCCTTGGTCGAGAGCATTCGTTGTAATCGTCATTTAACTGAAAGTGGATTTGTCACTCTGGTTTTCGTTAATGTGCTTTTCTTGGTTAACAGAGCGAAACTTTAGCTACTACCGCTAATTAAAAATTATCACTCTGTTCCCTTTAGCACTCAAGTAACATAAACTGCCAATTTGCTTTAAATGTTTCTCCGTACACACATAAAAAGAAATTGATGTTAATTTGAAAAAAGTATCATTTCCTATTGAGAATTTTCGAGAAAATTCAAGAGAAAGAATGTCATTTGAAAGAATTACTGAAAGCAATTCTGCTCGGCAATCTCTGACTGCTTAGAGTTTATCTACAAGGCACTAAATGATAGAAAAAATGTTCTAGGACTATTATATGACTTTAGTCGTGCTTTTGATACTATTGATCATGATTTATTAATCATCAAATTGGAAGGGTTAGGAGTTAGAGGTGTTCCACTTCAATGGATAACATCATATTTGACAAACAGAACTCAGACAACGGTAGTGAATAATGTGAAATCAGAATCAAGAACAATAAATAAAGGAGTTCCACAGGGTTCAATCTTGGGACCACTACTGTTCATTGCATTTCTGAGCGACATTGATGACACTTGTACCTCCGCAAATCGAACGATAATATATGCTGATGATACAAATATTCTAATGTCACACAACAACATTGACCAACTCACAAAATTGAGCAACAATGCATCTAAAGAAATAGCAAAGTATAGCCTCGAAAATGGTCTCATTTTGAATACAAACAAAACCAATTATGTCCGTTTCCTGCCAAAAAACGTAAATCCAAATTATGACCTATACCTAAACTTGTCTGGAAAATCTATACAACCAGTGGAGACTGTCAAGTTCTTAGGTGTTACTTTGGATAGTAAGCTAACATGGGAAGCACACGTAAACACTGTATGTTCGAAACTAAGCACTACATGCTATGTAATAAAAAATCTGCGAGATACTGTATCTACAAACATCCTGAAGTTCCTTTATTTTGGGCTGGTTCAGTCAACTCTGCAATATGGGCTGATATTTTGGGGGTCCTCTTGTCACTTTGAAAGGGTATTTGTATCACAAAAAAGGATAATGAGAACAATTTGTCATGCCCATCCAATGAAAACATGTAAACCACTCTTCAAGAAATTTCAAATACTAACCCTACCATGTTTGTATATTCTTGAACTAACTATGTATATAAAAATGAACCAAAATGAATTCATGAGAAATGAAGATATGCATAATAATGTATAATACTAGGAATAAAGAAAAATTTCGACAGCCCTATTCAAGATTGACAGTCTGTGAAAATTCACCAAAGCATATGGGTATCAATAAATGTTTCAATAAAATACGAGACATAATAGATGTAAACTTGAATGATATTTCATTCAAAAATAAGTTGAAGAACTTTTTTCTTGAAAATGCATTTTATAGTGTGGAGGAGTTTTATAATAATTGTTGATGTTCAAATATTGTCAAAGTTTCTAATATGTATGTATGAGTGTTTTATATTTTGTCTCTGTGACTTTACCTATAGGTACACTATTTTAGCATTGTATTATTTGTAACCATTTCTTCGTTTGACTAGTCTGATAAGTTTTGTACATTGTGTATGAGCTATACCTTGTATAATCTTTGATTGACGAATAAATTTATCTTATCTTATCTAATGGCGATGAATCAAAATGTTTGCATGTTTTATCAATCACTATAATCAAAGTGCTTCGTCTATTTGCTATTTCATTAGGATGTTTGATGAGAATTCGATCGATGCCGTCACAGTGTCGGCATAGTATTGATTATATGAAAAATGTCTCCTGCGCCGCCATTTTGAGAACAAAATGTCCACCTGTGATATACACAAGAGCTTGATTTCCTGACTCAGCACCCCCCACCATCAAGGTATTGACGGAAACAAGTGAGAAGGTTGAACTGACAATAATGAATATACTCAACTCTGAAGCCGGTATTATGCCAGATTCACGACCTTTGCGGTGATGTATTACATACATAATTTATTCTGAGTTGAGTTTGTGAACTTTGATGAGTTCAAAATGTGAATGAAATATCTCAATAAAAAATATTGTTTATCTTTTTATTCTTCTTTATATATAAAAATGAAGGTTTGTCTGTATATGTCCTTAATAGAATCGTAAACGGCTTGACCGATTCCACTAAATCTTCTTTGTTGTGTTTGTTATTGTCAGGAGAAGGTTCCTATGAGAGAAAAATTAAGAAATTCAAGATGGCGAATTCAATGTGATAGACGAGATTCCATTCAAAATTGGTATCTGAGGGTTTTTGCGGTCGAAAATTATGATTGAAAAATTGAAAAATTCAAGATGGCGGATTCAATATGGCGGAAGAGTTTTGTGATTATAATCCGCTTATATTCGAAATTGGTATCTGGAGGTTTTTGGGGTCGAAGATTATGGAAATTTGAGAGCACATCAGCACATCATTGATTTGTCTGTTCACTTTCTTTTCTGTATTTTTTTGGTTTCAATATGGAACAGAAGAGTATTTTCTGCATCGACATGATTCTCTATTTTCTGTAGAAATTCATTACCGGCGCATTCGATGAGAAGGTGGTAATGAATTTCTACAGAAAACAGAAAATCATGTTGATGCAGATGAGTTTGTTTTGTCCCATATTGAAATCAAGAGATATAACAGAAAAGAAAGTGAACAGACAAATCAATGATGTGTTTTCGAAATTGCGAAATTTGGATTGTAGTTCATTGGACGATGCTACACTTACTGTCTTGGTGACATCGACCATCATTTGAACATAATTGAAAACTCAACCAAGCTGCCAAATTTCATTGACAAAGAAGTAAACAACCGTGAAATTATGGAAGAATATGGATCCACAATTGCATTTTCATTCAACACTAAGAGGAAGAAACCAGCAACTGCTACTACTTCCAGAATGTCTGACATAGGCAGTTTAGATTCTAGGAACAGAAATAGTAAAAAAAGTTCATGTTATATAACATGATAAAGATCTGTACCAATTTATTATGCAATCGCAAAGCGCTTTCGTCTAAAAAGCCATCATCAGTGCTATACCTGCAAGTAAGTAATTTATGAAAATTTCAAAAAACGAATCCAAAAGTGTAGATTACTTACTCGCCAAGTATTTACAAAAAGATCCAAAAATTAGTAATTGATGACATCATCATGATACAAACGGAATTAAGAACATACATACATTTGACAAAAAAGTTCCCTAATGGGTTATTGTAAAATTTTCAGATTTACATTTCAAAATTGTTTAGTTCAGGTCCTGGGAGAGCACGAGGGATCTTTCCCTTTATTAGTCTGACGAATATGTGACATTTTCAACCATGATGATATTGTTGACAGAGACTGAGTGTCAATGTCAATGATTGAGTTGAAATGAGTATGAAGTAGACAAGTGATCACAGAGCATGAGGAAGAATTGACAAGGTGAGCAAATTGAATGTCTGAAAATTTTGCAAAATAAAATGGGATGAGATGGATTACATTCCACAGGCCAAAGAGTAACAACCTTTGTAATAAAAATTGGGAAAAGAGATTTCCAATCAAGACTTCAGAGTCCTGATGTTCAAGCTGAAAGTCCAAGGAAAAATCCTGTAGTGGAAAACCTCATGTATACATGAGTCCAGAAATGCAATCCTAGGGAATTATAGCCATTTTAAAGAGGGCCCGAGATAACGAAATTTTGAACTTTTCATGCCCAATTTGAAGATGTTGCGAATTTTCCGAAATTTCATCATTAATCAATCTTGAATTTACCATTTTTATGTTCAGATTTCAGTAGTGAATACCATGTTCTGACTATATCAACTGAACAAGAAGCAATGCTATTGTCTCCGTTCAGAAGAATGCAAGCAGATTCCTTGATTTTTCTCTTCTGGTTGTTATCTTCTTTTCCGAAGATTTTAATATTATTCCACTCTGCCATATGTTGTCCGTCTTCAGTAAAGATATGTTCAGCTAGTTTCGATTTATTTGCTGGAAAGTTTTATACAGGTGAAACCAAGAAAAGAAACATCGATAAATCGAAACTAGCTGAACATATCCTTACTGAAGACGGACAACATATGGCAGAGTGGAATAACATTAAAATCATTGGAAAAGAAGATAACAACCAGAAGAGAAAAATCAAGGAATCTGCTTGCATTCTTCTGAACGGAGACAATAGAATTGCTTCTTGTTCAGTTGATATAGACAGAACATGGTATTCACTACTAAAATCTGAACATGAAAATGGTAAATTCAAGATTAATTAATGAAAACATCCTGTAACTCATTTGTTTGCCAACGTCACCAATTGTCATTGAAAACTGAAAAAGCTTCTAGACATATTATACGACCTCGCTATTGAAATAATCTGTTCTCATGTTGAAAACGGGAGCAGAATCGGTCCCGAAACGTCCAAAGATAAGTGAAAATTTGATATTTTTTCTATATACCTTTATTTCTCTTCTCCAAACTTTTTTCAATATAAATTGTCACTGAGAAGCTAGTGAATTTTTCTTTTAGGCTCTCTGATAGGAAAATTATTTAAACGCAGTGACATTTTGGGGCAAATCATCTGATTATAGAAACGAGGAGAGAAAATCCCAAAAAATTTGGAATAATAAATGATATAATTATCAACAATTTTTTCTCATTATTCATTTCATCGATGCCCGACGACACTGACTTGCATTGTGTCACCTTGTGTTGAGCCAGTTTTACACAACTAGAACTAGGATGACATACTTTCAATACATGTACGCTTTTTTATTGAATACGACTATATACATATTTTATATCACAATCAAGATGTAGCACTCGAAATGTTAACTAGGAGGGTCACTTTGCTACTTTATTATGGACATAGTATGTATATGATTGAAGTGACTCGGTATAACATGCATTTGAAAGGAATGCGAAAAATTTTAACAGGTGCCATAACGTTTTCCACTTTGTCAGTTTCAGTTGGTTGAATGTCATTTAGATTAAACAACATCCCACCATGAAGGACGTTTTTAGCATTAAAATAAATGTAATGGTCGCTAAGGCGATAGCCTTTCAGGTCTTGATCCTCAATCTGCAATTTGCATTGGTATTCTTGCAATCAATGCAATCAATATAACGAACGAGTCGTTTACAGATAACTCACAGGTATTTATAAGGTTAATATCCAAAGAAACGGAATTTTGTTTCAGAATAAAAACTCTCTCATTTATGAACTGATGTCAAAGAGTTTGGTCTTGTTTGAGAAGAACAATTATTTATCAACACTCGTTGAAACAACTTTGAGAAATAACATACTTTTTTCTGTGACGGCAAAAAAGTTTGGCATTTCATGTCTGTTGGCAGGTTATAAATAGTCACTTTTCATAATTTACTTTTTCCCGGATATATATCACATATATATATACTATTGATGGCTTTTGTTGTGCTATATATTTCCGAAAAATGAGTCAATAATACCGTCTCCGAGAAAGAACTGCAAGTCCTTTCATCTTCCATTCGACTTCGCGGTAACGTATATTACTATAAAACAACCACTAAATTCGCAATTTTTTGAAATCAAATCACAGAATTAGACTGTCAGAAGTGACATCAGATATTTGATTACTTCAAAAGAATGATAAAGATGCCGACAACGCAGGTGTCCCTACTGTTAAAAACTTAAAATTTCACGTCGAACAGATTTCAAAATAATGTAATATCTTCTCAATATTGATTCGTCTTCTCTTCTGTCACAGAGAAAAATAGTGTATTATACACGGGAAAAATATTAGATTTTAGCTCACGGTTTTTTGTCTCCCAACCTGGACTAAAATCTACTACTATCTTCCCGTGTATAATGAATAACTATTTTTATTTTTAATTTTTTCAGCTTGTATTTTTCTGAACTAAACAAGAGCTCAGACATGCGAATCGGTGGGAAATAACATGTGTCTGTATTTTCAAAATCTGCCCTCCTTGGTCTCTATAGTGGTGAACTTGATTATGCCGTGATGTCTTGATTATTCAACGAAATAGGTATTTATGTACCAAGGACGAAAAACTGTCTATTATAGTCGAGTCTGCAAATTGATAGCCGAGGCCTTAGCCGAGGCTAGCAATCAGGTCTCCAAAGTGACCACGAAGGGGTGCGAAGCCTCAATTCGACGGGTTAATCTCGCGGGGACTGCCAAGGAAGGAACAATTGTTGATATTCAGAAGAGTATCGTCCATGAAAATATCTATAAAATAGAGCCAGATCGCCAACTTTTCTACGGTGTTCAGAAGTGAGTGAGTTTGTGAGCGAGGCATCACCCACGAGACGAATTGCCCTTTTTTAGACAGAATCCAACAGTTTCAGGGTATGTTTGGGTGCTGCACTCCGAATATGGGAACAGTATTCCAGGACAGGTCGAATCTGTGCCTTATAAATCATAAGCAGCTGACTTGAAGTGAAATATAGCTCCTGGCCCGAAACAAAAAAACAATTTTTTGGGATGCACTTTTAGCAATTGATCTCACGTGATTTTCTCAAGAAAGGTTATTGCTGATATAGTAATACCAAGCATCGAAATGGATGTCTTCAAAGGTATGGTTACTCCTGACAGGCTTATGTTGGGCACAGTGAGATCGGCTTTTCTATAGAGAAAAGGCATACTTGTGTTTTATTTGCATTGAAATTGATCATATTCCAAATTCTCAACTCCCAATTCAAAAATACTCACAAATATCACAAGATGCCACAAATGAAATCAGTAGTGCAATTACTGATATCGATGTTAAAAAACGAATTTGTATCTGATGTTTCGTGCTTAAATAGATCAATCCGCTATTTTTTGCCAACCGAGGAACATCGAACACTCGCCGCCGTTGCACGTATTTTTCCAGCAAATTAAGCGACACGATGTATACAAAAGTCGAAAAATCAACTTCCATAGCGGCGAGAGTACCCGTGAATATTTGAAGCGCCCAAACACTAGACCAATGTCGGCCTAAATTATTCCGCGTGCGTCTCTTCTTTCATCATAAATATCTTCATCATGCCTGATAAACAAGATCATTTTGCTCAATAAGCGAGATCATCCTAAAAAGCAAGATGGTTTTGCTTATTAAGCATGATGATGATGAACTGTATGGCTTATTGAGCATGATGTTCTCGCTCATCAAGCAAGGTGATCTAGCTTAACGATCAGGATGATCTTACATATTGGGCATGATGATGCTCTTGCTTATAGAGCAAGCTGATCTTGCTTATTGAACAAGCTGATCTTGCTCATTGAGCAAGATGATCTCGCTTATTCGAGCAAGATTTATCTTGCTCTATTAGACATGATGATCATCTTGCTCATCAAGCAAGATAATCTTGCTTCCTCAATCTTGCTTAAGCCAAGGAAGCATGCTGAAGCCAATTTATTTCACCTTCCTCAGGAGGTTTCGATTGCATTGTTACCTCAAATAGGTAGACATCACCTACTTTCAATTCGTTTTTAATTTCTTCGTCTCTCTTATGTTCAATGCAACAAAATAAGCAAAAGAGAAATAACATACTTCTCATCATACAAGATGCCACAAATGAAATCAGTAGTGCAATTACCTACTGATATCGATGGTAAAAAACGTATTCGTATCTGATGTTTCGTGCTAAAATTGATCAATCCGCTATTTTTTGCCAACCGAGGAACATCGATCACTCGCCGCCGTTGCACGTATTTTTCCAGCAAATTAAGCGACACGATGTATACAAAAGTCGAAAAATCAACTTCCATAGCGGCGAGAGTACCCGTGAATATTTGA